CCCAGCCTCCCTTGCAGCTAGCTCAGTGTCTCCAGAATGAGACAACAATGACGTAAGAAGTCACCATAGTACTGGGGAAGATCTTTGAAGGTGGCGGAACTGATGGGCCCCTTTTGCCCTTCTTACCTTCCTCGTTCTCCTGCCTAGTGTTGCTATCCTGGAGTTCCAGAAGCCACCTTACATGCATCAAGGGGATGGCCACACCAGGGAAGGCAGAGTGGAGGCTGGGGAGCCCAGGTCCTTCATTCCACAGACACTCCACTTCTGGACACTCCGTGATGTGAGAGAGAAATAAATGGCCCTTTGGAGCCAATACACATATTTATCTTCATCTCAGGGCATGTTCTGATTTTTGTCCCGATTTCAAGTCAAACACAGTCACCAACTGATCTAGAGTTTGCATCTGTGTCTTTTAATCCCCAGGGCATCCAGGGAAAGCCAAAGAATCTCATGGGGCAGCTCCTGACCCACAATGAAAGAAAAAATGGGAGAACTGAGCCAACCAGCACCACGGGCTGCTAACCCAGAGGCCTGGGCAGCAGACATTGGCACCACATCCCAATGGCACTCAGAGATCTCATTCCCAAACACTGTCTAGTGGGAACTGACAATAATTTGGATATGTTGTACTTGATTTGAAAACTTGGCTTAGGTTCACAATTGTATATAAGTTTGAAGCACATGGAATTTGTACGTCAAACTTATATACTTGTTCACATTTAAGTAACACTGTAATGAAAACAAGTCAACACTGAGAAGGGAACCCCTCCACCGGCTGTGAGAGATGTAACTGGAACCATCTGATGTTCTAATCCCGTGGTCGGCAAACTGCGGCTCGAGAGCCACATGCGGCTCTTTGGCCCCTTGAGTGTGGCTCTTCCTAAGCCTTAGGAGTACCCTAATTAAGTTAATAACAATGTTTAAGTTTAAAGTTTATATAGTTTAAGTTTAAAAAATTTGGCTCTCAAAAGAAATTTCAATCGTTGTACTGTTGATATTTGGCTCTGTTGACTAATGAGTTTGCCGACCACTGTTCTAATCGATCTAATCTGCAGCAGAAGGTTGGGGTGGGAAGTGGAGGGTGGAGGGGCTGGTGTGGGATGTGGGGGGATGAGCTGGGAGAGAAGGGCTTCCTGGGGGTTCTGGGATTGGATCAGACCTTGCAGGATGAGCAGGCATTTGGTGAGTGAATCGGGCAGGCTCTCCAGGGAGGGAAAACAAGGCAATTTGGGCAATTGATGGTGGGAGAACATGGTAATCACACACTTGATCAAAGCAACTGAGATGGGGGAGACAAAAGACTTCTCCCACACGCACCAGCACTAAAAGGACAGGAGCCAGGAGCATTGGCACCAGTCCACCCTTTGGGGTACAGGTTCTTGGGAGTGGGCAGAGGCGGACGCTGTCCCGGTGCTGAAGCCACAGCGGGGAGGAGAGCTGCCCCTGCCCTCAGGGAGCACTGAATGGAAGACAGGGCTCTACCAAGATGAGAGGGCAAAGGCGGGAAGTTTGGCCCACGTGGGGACTAGTTTGACTACAGCAGAGCACTTGTGAAAACTGTGGTTGGGACCCAACTGCGTTTGGCATTGATTAAGAAATTTGGATACTGCCCGGCCAATGTGGCTCAGTTGGTTGAGCATGGTCCTATGCACCAAGAGGTCACCGGTTTGATTCCTGGTCAGGGCACATGCCTGGGTTTCAGGCTCGACCTCCAGGAAGGGGCATGCAGGAGGCAGCCGATCGATGTTTCTCTCTCATTGATTTTTAGAGAGAGGAAGGGTGAGAGAGAGATATATAGAAACACGAATGATGAGGATTGAGGCTGCAACCCAGGCATGTGCCCTGACCAGGAATCGAACAGTGACCTCCTGGTTCATGGGTCGACACT